TTCCTTAGTCTGGCTGGTTCTACTTTTGACCTTTATCTCTAGTTCCTTAGTCTGGGTGTGCTCTACTTTTGACCTTTATCACTAGTTCCCTAGTCAGGCTTGGATCTACTTTTGACCTTTATCTCTAGTTCCTTAGTCAGGATTGGATCTTCTTTTGACCTTTATCTCTAGTTCCTTAGTCAGGCTTGGATCTTTTTTTGACCTTTATCTCTAGTTCCTTAGTCAGGCTTGGATCTACTTTTGACCTTTATCTCTAGTTCCTTAGTCTGGGATGGTTCTACTTTTGACCTTTATTTCTAGTTCCTTAGTCTGGGTTGGTTCTACTTTTGACCTTTATCACTAGTTCCTTAGTCTGGGTTGGATCTACTTTTGACCTTTATCTCTAGTTCCTTAGTCTGGGTTGGTTCTACTTTTGACCTTTATCTCTAGTTCCTTAGTCTGGGTTGGTTCTACTTTTGACCTTTATCTCTAGTTCCTTAGTCTGGGTTGGTTCTACTTTTGACCTTTATCTCTAGTTCCTTAGTCAGGCTTGGATCTACTTTTGACCTTTATCTCTAGTTCCTTAGTCAGGCTTGGATCTACTTTTGACCTTTATCTCTAGTTCCTTAGTCTGGGATGGTTCTACTTTTGACCTTTATCTCTAGTTTCTTAGTCAGGCTTGGATCTACTTTTGACCTTTATCTCTAGTTTCTTAGTCTGGGTTGTTTCTACTTTTGACCTTTATTTCTAGTTCCTTAGTCTGGGTTGGTTCTACTTTTGACCTTTATCTCTAGTTCCTTAGTCAGGCTTGGATCTACTTTTGACCTTTATCTCTAGTTCCTTAGTCAGGCTTGCAACACCAAAGATATATATTGTCCCTCTTGCAACACCAAAGATATATATTCTGGGTATGCAGTACACGAGCTAGTCAACAAATATAAGTTTGTGTTGTTTTATTTTAAATAGTTGAGTTTAAATGTATTTAGTGGAAAGAAGACATATATTGTCCATCTTGCAACACCAAAGATATATATTGTCCCTCTTGTAACACCAAAGATATATATTGTCCCTCTTGCAACACCAAAGATATATATTGTGGACCAAAATGCAAGAAAAATAAGTTTTATTTTTTCTATATTGAAATTTGAACTTATTCCCTTTCAAAATGCACGAATCTTCTTGACGTTGATATATGAATTCTACTGCGAAGTATAGTTGCCAATATCAGAGTTTTTAATGGCATGATTTTATATCAGCAGGGTAAGTACTTAAAGCTTGCTTTCAGTGACTACAAGCTTTCTGTATTACGGTTGCTTTACTTTTTATTTGCCATTCAAATGATCTGGATTCAATAGAAGGAGGATTGAATAATAATAAAAAAATTAACCCCGTCATTTATACATGTTCTTGTTCCAAGTCAGGAACATTGCAAGTAGCTTTATGTAGTAGAGAATTGATAAGAAGTAGTGGATTCGTAAACGATAATCAACGAGCGACTTTAGTCGCAAGTTGATTATCGTTTCCGAATCCACTACTTCTTATCAATTCTCTAGCTTAACCCATTTCTAAATAAAAAAAGACTGTCTGTTTTATGTTTTGACAATGAATCAACTGAATTTCATACAAATAATTTCGTATTTTGTCTTTTTTATTCTTTAATAGCTGGAAATGATTATATCCACACGGTTCACGTCTATATTTAAGTTAACATAAGTTGAATATAACTTAAATGGGTTGTTAGCTCCCCTTTTATTTCATACTTGTATATTTATATTTCATTTAATGTTTTATCATTACAAAATATTTAAATTATATAGATTTTGGTATTTATGATTTATTCAAAAAGACATATATAAATATAAAGAATTCATTTATCTTTTTTTGAATAGTTAAAAAATTGTTATTACCAAAATTTAGAAACCTTTGAAATTTACATGTATAGTATTAAGCAATGTGTGATTGTTTACAGCTGATTAAGGATTGTCTACAATTTAACCGTATTAAGCAAATACATATAATTAGCGTAGTTGCCATAATTGCAATATCATGAAGCTCCGGTTAATGATGCTTTCCGAAATGAATAAAATAATTGCTTAAGGTCTTTTTTGAACAATTATACATGAATTTTGTTTAAACTGTTTCCCTTTCATTAAGTTAGATTATTTTTAACGTTATTACATTTGGCATCCATCGTAAACCAGTCAATAAACTAGTATTATCTGTGGTACGCATTCTGAATCTCCAGCAGAATTGCTCTTGCTACAGATGTACAATGTATAAGTATGTCAATTTTTTACTTTTACATTCAAGCTGTTCATAGCCGTGATCGTCTAGTCGTTGGTACCGATAGACATAACTGTGATATTAACAGTGCCAAATTCAAACCATGTACCCGAATTGAAAATTTTTCATCGTAATTTTTTTCTCTACAAAAATATTGTTTTAATCTTAGAGGTATTATATACTTCATTTTCATTTAAAGGCTATGATTTTGTTTCTGGTTTTACAGTCAAAGAAGTAGTTATATATCACACTTTATTCAAATTCAAGTCCGTTCAATGTTGACGTGATGTATATTTGGACCATTTATAATCAAACAAAGAAAATATTATAGATAGTGCGATATCATTATAAGACTAAAACCATAAGTAAGTATTTGCTATGATGAAAAGGAAAAATCCTTGTACGTTAAAAGTGACAATTGTAATGGGCATATGAATGTTTATTTTATCAAGGAATTGTACTAATGTATACAATTCATTGATTCTCTAGTGTTTAGAACTAGTCTGTTATAGCCACAATCGTATAAAGACCCATCGGTTCATTATAACGATGTTGAAAATCGATCAATGTTCAAACCTGACATCGTGAATAAACTCTTTTTTAAGATATTTCCATACTGCTATATAACTATAATCAAGAACGTTCAAATGTAGAACATAATCTTCCTTAAAAAATAACGCCATAAATAAAACAATTTGAATAAATTTGAAAAGAACATGAACAAATCCAAACATAGTATATATATTTTATTAGATAACAAAAGCGAATTATCTCTGAGACAGACATACAGTTTATTGACATGTATTGGCAGTTATGCGCTTTAAGAGTGTTATTTAAATATTGCTGCACTCGTGGTATAGTGGTATCATGCATAGACTGAAGACTCTACTGATTATGAATAAAATACGTGCGAGTTCGAACCCTTCATATGACACTCGTTTTTGAGAGGATAAAAAATCGTAAGTTAAAAGTTTAAAGTTATAAAAATTCTTGAAAAATAATCTACTGTAAGAACAATAGACTGACGTCAGAGAAATGGGTTAATTAGTTATATAACTTAATGTTTTGCCAATTATGGAATTTTGTATTTATAGCAGATATTTGTTAATATCTGCTAAATTTATTCCTCAATTTTCTTCATTGGATGATATTGTATAAACAATTTTATTATACTTCATGTCAAAATGCCAGATTTTGATTGGTTAATACGAGGGAGACAATTCACTCTATCCCATGGAAAATACTCTATTACCCTTCACGGAGACGCTTGCTCAAGTGCGCGCTTTAATAAATACTGATGATTGTTATGTACAAGACGTACGACATAGTTTATTATTTTGAATTTGAAATTTAATAGTCAGTAATAACAGAACATTCAATATAATAAATTAAATTAAATAACATATATCTGAGAGGGTGATAGAGCAGATTGTTACCCCTCGAAAAGACATTGTCAACCTTGGCTTCGCCTCAGTTGACAATGTTTTCTCGGGGTAACAATCTGCTCTATCATCCTCTCAGCTATGTGTTATTTATATAGTATCGTATTGATAACAACCGATGTTGACCTCTAGATATTTTGTTTGTGTTATTGAGTTGTTGTCTAATTGAACATATTTTATTTTCTTCACACTTTCTTACAAAATAATATTATTATTATGCATAATGCACGTGCAAATTTTGATATCGACGTGAAGTGACAGTAGGTTGTCTGATACTACAAGCGCAACTATAACCGCTGCATGTTGAATGGTAGTCCTCGAGGGTATCATCAGCCCAAGTTACGAAAAGCGCTTCAGATGCTCCACATTTATAAAATGTTATTTTCAATTTCAAGCACTAGTTGGATACCGCTGCTAGTGGACTGTTATTCCCCGAGGGCATTTTCAGCCCAGTAATTAGTGCTTCACCCCTCACTTGATTTTACAATATGAAAGAATTTATGATAAGGCACTTGTTTTGTTTTGGCCCGTTGAAATAAAAAAATCGAAAGGTTTCACAAATCTATCAAATAACAACCTTCATATGTTAAAAATACTTTAGTATATCATATGTTGTGATATATCATATGTTTGCTTTTAGGCTTCAAATTTCTTGCATTTCATGCAAAACTGCAAAATCTGCCAACATAGCCTCATTTTGAAGTCAAATCACTAATTATAGGAGCCAATGCTTATATAATAAATGGTTTGCAAAAATAAGTCATATACAGAGAAGTAAATATGGTTAATTTCTTTTGGTAAAGCCTTCACTCATAACTAATTTTACTAGGAACTATGTGTGAAATGGCATTTTTGTGTCAAATACGTCAGTTTCAACATGTTTATGGGTCATACCTTCGTCACAACAGACTTTTCTAAGCTGAAGTGTCCAGATTATATTACCTCCTGCATTTATATATAAAATTAACATAGTTTCTAAAATATTAAAAAATGTTACTATTTTTTGTTATTTCAGGTCCTTAATGCTGACTCTTATAATATCTCGTCCTTAATATTTTATATAATTTAGTGTTTGTTTCGTTTTCATCATTTTTTAACAGGAAGACAATCTAATACCGTTACAATAATTTACGTAAAAGAAATATCAGCTGCTATTTTAACACATTTAGAGGTCAAATACTGTCTTGAGGCAAACACCAATTCACACTACTAGGCCATCCTTTTCAATCAATAAATGTCCATAGAAACCGTTTCCATGGATACGGAAATATCATACCGTTTTCATGTATATGTTAAATGGTAGAAGAGGTGAGTTGTTATTTATCTACACCAAATACGAGAAAAAAAAACAGAACTTAAGTATTGTATTTGATTAGTTAGACTCATAATAAGTATAGTACATTCTAAACAGGTAAAGATAAATGATCTATAATATAAAAACAACACTTTAAAAATTCATTGCGTCCGAAGCGCTTTTCTAGATTTACCTTCACAAGGAACGCTCAAATCTAAACATTTGTAAAACATTAGGAGCTATATGACCAAAAAGTGATATAACAAAAATATTCAAATTCATTTAAATTAAACTTTTCAAGAGAGAGTTGGAACGTTAGTATCTTCGTAATATACGTAATTCATCAACGGGGAAATTTGTTATGAATCATGCCAGTACCGAAGTACTGATCACCGAGCTGATAATACAATCTGGGACTAACAGTACACCAGCAGTATTATTGAGCCTGTGTTAGTAAATGAATATATATATATATATATATATAATGTTGAGACATCACTCATTTATACCAAGCGTTTTAGAATTAATTATATGTATTTTAATTTGTCATAGTTTGTTCAATTTCATTAGTAAATAATAAATGTTGTTTCGCTTATATCTAGTGAGTTTCCGTGCGCTTTCCGTCAGGACTCTTTAGTTCGATGGATCTACTGACACGTTATGTAAAAGTTTAAATCAAAGAGATTACTTTGAAATTTTATTACTGACATTTACTCGAAATCTAAACATTTAATGAATTCTAATAATATCTTTGTTTTTACTCCAAAATTTTAACTTTTTAATAATTGCGTAATTGTCTGAAAATCCTTATTGAGAAAGATGTTAGTCAACCCATCACCACGTCCTGGTTGATTTTGTTTACCATCATGTCTTGGAGGATGTTGTAAACATAATCATAACATTTTGGTGGACGTAGTTTATCAATCATCACGTTTTGGTGTACACTCTAACAAATATTGCCCAAATGCTGCCCATTCCGAAAAGGCGAATTTTCCAAAATAGCATGAAGAAACAATGATTACCGCTGATGAGATATCTTACTTTGATTAGGCACGTGCTCTTTGACGTATTAGCTGCAAGTCCACAAATCGAATGTACACGAGGCTTACAATTTTAAACAGACTATTAATACTCTGTTGGTCATATATATGGCATGTACGAATACAATTTATCATTCATTTTAATATACATCGTAGACTATAGACAGCGACTCCAAGGTCAATTATACAGAGCAAAATATTTTGTTTTTCTCAAATGATTTTTTTCTCCAGATTTACCAATCCATATAAAAAATGAATTCATGTAAAAGAGTTCACCCTTCCGATGCTGAAGGCATTGTTGGAAGATCAAATTCTAAGGCATCAATACTATCACAGTCCCCGTCGGAACTGAACGTGGCCATTATGGATATGCTGAATGTCAGACAGACACCAACCAAATGCGATATTCTCTGCAGAGGTATGTATAGAATTTATACTTCTTAATGCACCATCATATGAACAACGAAATTATTCGTAGTAGAAATCAACATTTGAGTTTATTTCCTATTCATCACACTGAACTTGCAACACTATAAAATATGTTTTACTCTTTTAGTAAGCATGAATAAAGAAAGTGAATTTGAAGTAAAGAATCAATATCGATTCGATTAAAATAAAAACACAACCTTTTTAACGATACCATAATGTGTAAGTTGGCATGTTATAATATAGTTAAATATTTTCCACGTGACTCCTCCTCCAAATTTGATGATTTTGTTATATATGATTGGCCACACTCCAAAATAACTGCTTTACTTAGCCTAATATAGAAGGTATGGTAACCCCACCTTTTGCCCCTTGATTTAATAAAATGAAAAATAATGATAAATCTATCCAATAAAGTCTTTCATTAGTTTACTTAATATGCCAGTCATCAGCATCTTTATTTTGAATTTTGTCATATATGCAAGCTCACGAAAGGTCAAAAATGGCCCTTAGAATTTGATGTTTTTTTTTAATCAGGCCAAAATACTACAAATGTCGCTTAAAAATAGTTGTGAGATAACTATTAATACAAAAAAAACTTCTTTGTGGCACATCACATTACAAATGACGAAGAAATGACCCCGTAAGTATGCATTATTTGTGTTGTAACGTCAGTTTGGGTAAAATTTTCATTAATTATTAATAGTTTTAATATAATTTACTTTGGCTGCCACCCATGATGCACAAAGTTTTTGTGCCTTAGGATTCAATATCATTATTTACTACTTTTGGCTTCAGATCATTTTGGATGCTAGGTTGGGCCATGGGTTTCCTCAAGCTTTTAGGTAAAAAAAATGCACAAAATCTTCGTTTTTTGACAATATATCCAAGTTACAATTTATAAAAGTAAACCATTATAGGTCAAGGTACGGCCTTCAACACGGTGCATTGGCTCACACCGAACAGCAAGCTATAAAGGGCCCATAAAAATTACTAGTGTAAAACCATTCAAACGGAAAAACCAACGGTCTAATCTATATAAAAACGAGAAACGAGAAACACGTATGAACTACATAAACAGATAGAATGTTCTCTAATGAAAAAACTTGTTTAGACGTTTAGACTAGTAGTAAGGCTTTTGAAAAACATCCATTTAAGAACCAAATTATGAACATTTTGAAGTTTTATGATTTAGTTGAAATGTAAGGTCATATTTGGCATAAAGTGCAGCTTGTCTTTTCTAGCATTTGGTCCAAAACTGCAAAACAAGCCAACGTAATTTTTTTTTGAAATATCAATATTTAAAAAATGAGTCACAACCTTACACTAAAAGATGTACAATTCAAAGACGTTTTAACGAGAGTAAACTATATTTTTGGGTTTTTCGTGTCTCATTGCTTTTCCACAAACTAGGTGAAAATTGCTACTTGAAGTCCAATATGTCAATTTTTAATTTCATTGTAACATCACATCAGGAATTTGCGCACTACATATTTTTTAATGGATTGAAGAAATTTCGTTTTTTGCTATTCCAGTTTTGGAAAATGGTCTTAATTGTACCTCTTCTTTTTAAATTTTCATCATCAATTTGAATAAAATAAACGTAACAATTACATCAACAGTGAGGCTAAATGCTGATATATACTAGAATTCATTTTACACTTTTTATTTATTTCTTGAATATGTTTCTGTCAAATTTGTATAAAAATTGCTATACTGAAACATTGATTTCATTCCGTCTTAAACATAAAAATACATAACAACTGCAACACTTACATACTGGAAATTCAAAAAAATATTGCGAGGTTTTTAATTAATGCGAGCGTCGTAATGATAAGAACTTGCATTTTGATATCTAATACATACATCTTTATGCAGATTTGACTAAAATCGCAATTATTAATCCCGCAGTACTCATGCAAACATGATTATGTTCTTGCAGGAAATCCAATCACGGACGCTGGAAAGCGTAAACAGATGATAAAGATGTTATCAGTAGTAATGTTGCCCGTGCTAGTCATCACAGGAATGACAGCTAATACATTTGCTATAGCTGTCGGTAATTACATAAGTTCATCTAACGTCCGTCAATTACTTGTCTTTAGCATAGAGTTAGGCGCATTGTTGCGTTCTATTCAGTTTGAGCGCGATATGAGCGCTTTATATGTAAGCAACATCAAACCAGAAACAAAAGATTTCTTGCTTCAGCGTTATCCAGATACTGACCTAGCAGTTCAAAATTTATCCAACTGGCCGAAGGGGGATGACATCATATCGGATATGGAAACACCAGAAAGGTTTCTGTCGTATCTAAATAAACACAGGTATCAGTTAGACGTATACAATCAGTCCGTAGAAGCCGAGTTGAATTTTTACTCAAATATTATTCTTGTTTTGCTTAAATGGCTTTACGACTCAGTGAGTGAATCTAGCACAGGTTCCGTATGGAAAGACGTTGTAGCCTATCAGGAAATCATTGTAGCCAGTGAGTTGTTTGGGAGAGAACGCGCTTTAGGTGTCTCATTTTATGCCACTGGTGGATTTGCATCTCGAGAAAAGTATCTTTTATTCATTGAAAATCAAGACAGAGCTAATGTAACTTTTGAATCAGCGCGGTTTTATTCGCAAATAGCCTTCGACATTTACAATGCAGAATTAGCAAAAAATCCAAATGTAAGCGAACGTATTGAAGAATTCCGAAACAGAATAAAGGCAAATAACTATTCACGAGAATCTGCGTCCATCAAAGAAGCGGAGCTATGGTTTGATAACATGACTATCTACCAAGGTGTCTTAACTCGGACACAAAATGCTCTGGCACTAACAATTGATAAAAGTTTAGCAAAGGAGTCCCAAGAAGAACTTAAAAGCGTTATAACGATATGTATTGTCTTTGGGGTAATCCTTATTGTTTGCCCATTAGTTGTTTTTGCAGTTTACAGTTTAACGTCCGATATCCAGAAGTATTCCATATCCATAGCAAATAGGTAAATACTTAAATATTAACACTTGTTTAAAGAGAAGAACCGGATCGAAAAACGAAGATAGATATTAAGAAAGCAAGTGTATGAAGTGCTCTTTAGATTTTTTTGGGCATAGTAACGCTTTTGTTAAAGGTTATCGGTATCTGTTTTTAAATCAATCGTTGTATCTGGTATTTTAAGGTATTCATTCTCTTTTTTATTTTTTAATACAAGGCACGCATTTCTTAAATCTTATCATCATTGAAAACTGTATCTACGTTTGGCATTGTATAAGATCCTTCATTGCTATACTCTTTATTATTTTACTGTTTGTCAAGTACTAATGCAGAAATTTTCGATGTAAGTGTTTAGGATGACGCAATTTCATGTTAGCAGATATGGTACGTTGAGCTATCAGGACTGCAGACATACATTGATATTGTTTTATTTATTATTGTTTGAAATGTACCAGTGTTTTTACTGTTTATTTAATCGACATTATAAAGGATTTGGGCTTTTATTAAGGAATATTTATTGTACGTTCCGATAAGCACATATCGTCATTTTACGGATTGAGATTAGCGATTCCTTTACATTCCCAATTAATTTCTTGATCAGAGGCTTCGTAAATGTTTTTAGTCAAATTTGAATTTAGTGATCTGGAGATTTTGGTAACGATGGTAGATCTTTGATAGCCTCTTAATGGATCATTTATGCAATAATTTTCTTGACTCGGGTTTTTTAAGATCCTTCCTACTTGTATATTGTCGATTGTCGAAGATCGTATGTTGATCTGTAGATGGCGTTTTATTTTGTTTTTGTTTTGTAAGGTTATTTTCTCATTGACATTTTTACCCTCAAAACATGCATACTAAGATTGAACAACCAAGTATGAATTCATATCCATGCTAAAATACCAAGGGCGCAATCTAAAAAGTCGAAGAAAAAGTAGACAACACCCTGGACAACAGTTCACAAAACTACTCAAACAACTAAAGATCGAAGATCCCGAAACCCACCAAAAAGGAACTTGAAGCAAACCACATGATATAGAACCAGACAAATATGATGCCCTTAATTAATGCTTAAAAATAAATTCCTCTAAATAAAAAGAATGCGTGTTATTTTTCCAATATATGTACGATGTCAAAATAAACCAGTTAAATGCAATGTTATCTATGATTTATAGATTTCATTTTTGCTGTTTAACAATAGTTTTCTATTTTAGGTTAGGATATTCTCTGACACTCTTCAAAAAAACATATTTCTTTCATTTTCTGTTGGCAGAATCAATTTGTAATATATACAGACAATATGTTTGGTCTATTAAATTGAACATTTGCGTATCATATGGTCAAGGGAACTTGAAAATATAACCAATAGTGCCGTGTAATATTATTGCTATTATTTAAACGTTTTATTAGAGAAAAAGATAGACAATTTACCAAACTTCTAAGTCTGATCTTAAATGAGCCATTTCAGTTTAAAAAAAAACATCCAAATAGTGAAAATAAGGACACATTGTCTTTTTAGACATTTTAGTCCGTATTAAAAGACTGCTTTTATTTATGAATGTTATCAAATTTTCCGTTCACATATACAATGTTACTTTAAATCATACATATTCGGTTCTACAATTTAGACAATAACACGTGCCTAAATAACAAATGATTGACTTAAATAGGCGATGTGAAATGAATTTACTTATATGTATCAGTATTATCATTTACGTAAATTAATTTAGAAAAATATATTCTTTAAATTTGATACATTTATTCAATATAGCACGAAAGCTCTTAACAAAGAAAAACAACGCACAGACATGCTACTTTACCAGATGTTACCGAAGTCTATAGCAGAGATGCTGAAAAGACGTGAACAAGTAGATGCCGAACAATACAATGAATCAACCATATTCCTTAGTGACATTGTAGGGTTCACAGCAATATGCGCACAGAGTTCACCACTTCAAGTTATTGATCTGCTCGGTAATGTCTACACAACCTTTGATGAGAGGATTGACGTACATGACGTTTACAAAGTAGAAACTATAGGAGATGCGTACATGGTCGTGTCTGGTATGAACATTGTTGTATTTATCTAAAACATCCTTTTATTGTTTTAGTTCATTGAAAATATCATTTTTAAAGTTATTGTGTCTGGTATGTACTCTGTAATATTCATGCACATTTTTGTTTTTTATATATAAATATACATTTTTAATTTTTGCATTTGGTATGAACATTGTCGTATTTATTTAACACACATACTTATTATTTAAAACATTGATTTATCATTTCCAATTATGCTAATTACTTGTTTTCAAAAAATAATTGCAATCATAGCCAGTAGTTTCAAATGAGGCTATGCTATCATTTTTAAATTTATGCGTATCATTTCAATTTCTATTTAGGTGTACCAAAGCGTAATGGTAAACGGCACGCATCAGAAATTGCCACAATGTCTTTAGATCTTCTGAGAAATGTCAAGAGAATTGAAATATCACATCTGCCTGGTATAAGACTAAAGATACGGATAGGCATACATTCAGGTATTGCACCATTTTAAGATCCAATATAATCGATAAATGACTTCATTAAAAGGTCGAAGGGATGTTTACATAACTGCAAATCGTTCTGTCTTGATTTGGAATAACAATCAATAAAACACTACGTTTACATATCCTCTGAAGGACCTCTCTGAGTAAAACTGACACATAAATAAAACTGATCGATTGTTAGACATGATTTATATAATTTATGTAATGCAAATATTCTATAATCAGTTTACAAATTTGCAATTTCTACTTGAACTAAGGTTACTGCTCGACTCGTCCATTAAGATTATTTAAAAACACAATCATATATTTTGTAGGTCCTACTGTTGCTGGAGTTATTGGAACAAAAATGCCACGGTTCTGTTTATTTGGGGAAACAGTCCGTATTGCGTCAAAGATGGAATCACGCGGGAAAGGTATGTCTTATTTTTAATGGAGTCACATGGAAAATTTAATTCGTTAAAAATGAATCACGTGAAGGGTTTGCATCGTTTTAAAATAGAATTACGCGGGTATGATATGTCTCATTTTAAGTTGAAACGCGTGACAAAGAAAGGTGAATTCCTTTCAAGAGGAACAACACTGAATTGGTATGTCTCTTTTATAATGGAATAAGTGGAGTTTAAACAATAAACACATCGGAAAGGTAAAAAATCTTCCATTTTAAATGGAATCTCATGGCAAAAGGTAAGCCTCGTTTTAAATTGATTCAAATTGGAAAAATATGGACCATCCAAAATGTAATCATGTGGGAAAGCTATGTATCGTTTATTATGAATTCACTTGAGGAAGGAATGTCTTCTTCAAAATTAAACCGTACGATTGAAGTGTATCGTTTTGAAAATGGAATCACTTGGGAAATGAGAGTTTCGTTTACTAGAAGATGGAAAGTTAACAATCTTAAATTATGAAATCATGGGGGAAAGGTAATTTTCTTTTTTCAAGGAATCACATGAGATAGGTATGTGTCGTTCAAAACTAAAAAACTTTTGAAACGTGTTTGGATACCAATATAATCATTTTCAAAGTATGTCATGTTTAAAATTGACGTGGGAAATATTTTTCTCTTTTATAATGGAAACACGTGTGAAAAGAATGTTTATATTGGAATCCCTTGGAATAGGTATTTCTCTTTCAAAATGAAACCACATAGGAATGATTCTTATGTTTTTGTTTTCTAATCACTTTGGTAACTTAATTTCTGTTTATAATGGAAACAGTTGGAAGTTTAGGTCTCCTTCACAATTGAACCCCATGGTACATATAGGTCTAATTGATTATGGAATCATGTACGAAATGTTTATATAAAATGTTATAACATGAAAAAATATTCGCGTGATCCATATAATTTTGAAATACGTGATGGATATATATGGTTTGCTAAAAATAATGAATGGATTGAAATGTAATCAATTAGGAAAGTATGTCTCGTTTTAAATAGAATAACGTAGGAACGCATTATCTGTTTAAAAGTGTAGTGTGTGGTAGCTGACAATAATTTTGATTTCGTATGTGCATCAAATATATATTGTAAAAATAAGAGAATCTATGAAAAACGAGACGAGTTTAATTTTGAAATTATAAATTCCCCCCACCTTATCAACAACATACCACATTCACCTGCATATGGGATGTACATTTCCCAACTCTTTGGGTATTCAAGAGCTAGCCGCTGCTACTTAGACTTTATAAAACGTCACCAGTGTCTAAGCAGAAAGTTGATGAACCAGGGTTATGCCAAAGAACGTCTCGTCCTTTTTCTTTAAAAGTTCATCGGAAGATACCAAGACCTTGTTGATAAATATTCAGTATCAACAAGGTCTTGTTGATAAATATTCAGTATCAACTGCACAAATAATACATGATGGTCTTGAAGTATAGGTTCCAGGTACTGAGGTTGTTTATCATCTTAATTACGTGTTGTAGTGTTCTTTTTATTTGTCTTTGTATAGTTTTAACCTTTGCTGTTTAGTCCATTTTTGGTAATATCCTTTCCGCGTGGCTCGGTATCTATATATTCCGCTATTGTGTTATTGTGCTATGGTTATTTTATGTATTCTTGACTTTCATTTGTACTTATGTGCTTTCTCTATGGAGTGTCTACATGTCATTTTGTTTTTCTTTGTTGACATAGTTGTTTGTTTTCATAGTTATGAAGATTATAACACAATGTTGACTGCTGTACCCCAATTTTTGACATTTTTACCTATTATGTTTGTTTATTTTGCTCAAATATTATTGTCAATATAATGGAATTTTATTCGACTGTCATACAACTGAGAGGTTTAATTAGCTATAAAACCAGGTTTAATCCACAATTTTCTACATAAGGAAATTCCTGTACCAAGTCAGGAATATGACAGTTGTTTTCAATTCGTTTGATGTGTTTGAGCTTTTGATTTTGCCTTATTCGGTATTTTCGTATACATATATACGAAATATATGATATTGTCTGCTTATATTCATCTAAACTCATCTTCACTAAACTTTTAATGTAAAAAAAAACAAAGCATGCTAGGCAAGCTTAGAGTAATGTGCGATATCTGACAATAGATTATACTTCGTCTGTACACAAATATATATATGGTTAAAGAAGGATTGTGAAATAGGTGGAACGGACTAGAAATGCTGAACTACTAAAATTAATCAAAACTCACTATTTCGATAAGCTTTTTATTCGCAGGGAAAAACTCGAAAATACAATATTCCGCAACCTTCATATAAAATAGTCTTATTGAAATCTTCCCTGTTTAGATCACCATACATTTCCATGCCTTAAATCTGTAATTTTGATTTTTAGTCTTTCCAAAGTAATTTATTATAGTAACAAGAGGTCACGAATAAGAATACAATATAATGGTTTTGTGGAGGTCTAAGATTTTATTTATTTCTGAGGAAATATCTTCATCAGATAATCCCCAATATCTGTATATTGCAGTTAGTTTAATTAATTGTTTTATGTTTTTAAGCAAATAGGATACAGATAAGCCAAGCTACACGAGATCTACTCCTCGCTATCGGTGGATTTGACATGGAAGAAAGAGAAAATGATGTAGTCAGGGTAAGTAAGATGAGTTCACATGAGTATATAGGGATGAAATTAGACTGTCAGCAGATATCACAAATCTAAACCCCGCTCTCCGATCCTATTATACATCGATATTGACAAACGGATGGACACAATAATCATTATAAATTCTCTGTCTTTATATAAAAAGAAGATTTGGCATGATTGCCAATGAGAAAAATCTCCACCAGAGACCAAATGACGTTAGAAGTAGAAGTTAGAAACTATAGGTCACCATTCGGCCTTTAACAATGAGCAAAACCCATACCGCTTGGCAAGCTATAAAAGTTCTTTATAAGAATTAACTATTTGTCCATACTTTTATTTACTTTTAATTGGGTGTACTATACTTATCGAGAAGTAAATAAGTGGAAAAATGTCAACTGAAAAAACTTTAATGAAAAAATAAATAAGTTAACTTGAATTGTCTGAATCAATTACATAGTTATTTGAATCATTTAGTGCATCATTGTCGCTTTTCTGGTAATACAATAGAATATAATAATAACATATATTTATGAGCGTCCCGTTTTGGCTTAACAGAAGAGGCAACGATGAATAGTTTCAGCGGTATTTCCTTCGCCGAGTTGAGGGTTTCTATAATATTTTACAGCATAAACATTTCTTTTAAAAAATGAACTATATATTAATCTGTGTGTAAAACCTAATTCACTTGTTTTCAATTTTATAATATACATCACAGTATTCTTTCAGAGAGAAATTCTTAACGCTTTTCCTGGAATGACAGGTAGGACATATTGGTTACGGAATGTTGATGGTTTGAACAGACGGGCGTCAGAACACTCCAGCAGTTCAGAGACAGAAGACGAATCTTGTTGCACAGAAACATCAGGGGGTAAATTTTGTATTATTTAACCTCATTATTTATATATGATGTAGAAAACTGACATTGATTCTTACTGTAAATACTTTTAAATATGGGGCAAAATTCTATTTTTATTTGGATTCTGTTGTAATTTATTTGGTTAAATATGAATTCATGTTTCGTAACGATCGTTAGTCCATCAATATATTATATTTTGAAGTTTTTTTTTTTTTTTTATTAAAGAGCATTACAAAATCTCATTCCAGCTTTGAAGTCTTATTTCCCAAACTGAAGAAACATCCGTTTTATAACAGAGAAAGATCTGCTGCACTCGGTGAAATGAAGATTATAATTTAATTCATATTGGATTATATCATCATGTATATTAATAGATGATAAATAAATGTTTTGGTGTATTGTTAAAACGGAATTTTTATATGTTGTGTCGTCCTGAATATGCATAAAAAGTTTTCACTGGACGGAGAACAAACAACAATCAATAAATCTTATGATTCCAATTGTGCATTAAGGTGGTACCCAACACCTTGACTTATATCAATTTGGCTCGTTTAATTTTCATAAAATTTTGACAAAATGTTAACTTTGACCCTTTGACAAAAATATAAAAATTTCAAAAAATTTGAACCAACCACTTTATCAGAAAAATTTCGTTGGTTATATAGCAGTTTGACAAACGCTAATTTTGATCATTGCGAAGCTTAATATTTCTTTAACAATACAACGTAATTAAAACGTTTAGCTGATTTTTACAGAGTTATCTCCCTGTAGTGTTAGGTACCACCTTAAGAATCCAGTTAACAAATTTCTGCCAGATACTGTTTTTAAATTGAAACAAATGACTGGATTTCACATCCCTTTATGTTAACACATTCCTTTTATGTCTGCTTTTTTCGAGGAATCGAAATCGGAAAAAATCGGAATCATTACAACAGAGAAAACTGATTTAAGCAATAACATAAAATGAAAAACAATCGTGACAGACGGCAATTACAGACAACCACTTTTGGTTTTTGTGGTGGGGTTAAACATATTTTTGAGCGATCAAACCTTCCCCTTATATTGAACAGTGTTGTAACAACACACATATATGGCAAAAGGCTTGAATAATTCAATAGGTACTATCTACGCACAAAACAAAGGATACAAAAGACACAAAGTACCGATCTAAGAGGACTGGCAGTTACTGAGAAATACGATATAAGTTAGTACATTTCAGACTTATTAATTTTGATTTGGAAGCTCAAACTTTTAAATTAAAACATTAAAACATCAACAATTTTTTTCTTGCATTGGTATCTGTTCCAAAGAATGTTACTTGACACAAACATGAAACAAACATCAAAACCTGTCATTACTATTTTCATTGTCAAATAAAAATTTCAAGAAATATTTGAAATGGAGTGTAAACGGCAGGATAAACTATATATTCTTTGCAGTGTTGCAGAAATGTTAAGTGCTTTGTATGATTTAGATTTATATAATAATAAATTATTCATAATCATTGATAAATAAAGGCAACAGTAGTATACCGCTGTTCGAAATTCATAAATCGATTGAGAAAAAAACAAATCCGGGTTACAAACTAAAACTGAGGGAAACACATTAAATATAAGAGGAGAAACACAACATTAAAATGTAACACACACAGAAACGAACTATAATATAACAATGGCCATTTTCCTGACTTGGTACGGGACATTTTAAGAAAAAAATGGTGGGTTGAACCTGGTTTTGTGATTAGCCAAACCTCCCGCTTTAATGGCAATGTTAAATATAACATTAAAATGACAACATAACATGACAGGACTACAATAGAAATAAATGGAAGAACATAAAGGACAGAGAAACACACAAATATACACTACAATAGAACATTACGACAAGCTAATAATTATCAAAGGTGCCAGGCCTAAAGATGAAGAGCATTGATGACCCAAAATTCCAAAAAGTTGTGCCAAATACGGCTAGGTTTTCTGTCAGAGATAAAAACATATTTAGTATTTAGAATAATTCATAATTCATAAAATCAGAACCATATACCAATATCTTGACGATGAAACAGTGAAAAAGAATGTATATGAAAAAAACCCCAAAAAACACTTAAATTATTTTGTGCTTCGGAAGCGCTTGTCAACAGGATATTCAAACCTAGACATTTGAAACTCAGGAAAGCTTTAATGCGATGAAACATTAGGAGCGTTATGGCCATAAAGCACTTAAACAGAATAGCCGAATTAATCTAATCTAAATCTTGCTGGTTTGTCCCGAAATAAAACAAAATACCGTGATTCAATAGTTTTAGGAAATATTCATCTTGTATTGATGCAGTGTGCAAGTAATATGCATAATGTATAAGACGACCCTTATGTTAAAAAGAGAAAAACTAAGTATTATAGATTTCCGTTTCCCAACTGAATAGTTATTATCTAGTGTCTTTTACAATTATAGATATTCAATATATGTAAAAGTTAAGGAATTCATAAAATCGAAATCTCTTTTATATCTGAAAATATATACGGATATTACTAAATGTAGCGGTACAGAACCTTTCTTGATCTGTTATAGAAAGACGCGTACATCCATAGTCCTCGGAAATAAAATTTATCAGCACAACACAAACGATGGTCACCAGTATAAGCTTCATGGTTATTCTGAAATAAATTATTCTGACTAATGTATGTTGTTTAATATATAGACTATCATCTTAAATTATATACGTCTCTGAACCATGTCTTACAATAATATCTGAGTAACCTCATGCATTAAACTAAAGGCTCTTAACATGCGTCGCTCACCTAGGTCTATGTGCATCTTCAATATTGTAGACTAGAATAGAATTTTAGAATTCAAGACAAACATATCTATTTTGTTGATTTTGTTTACTTTTCGGCAAAATTTGAGTTGTTTGTAGATTTTGTCTTGCTGATCATTTTTGTTTTAAAAGTTTTTATCTATCTTGTATTATTTCAAGAAAATAGGCAAAAACGCTAAACTTAATAAAAAACTTCATTAAAAGCAAGAACTTTAATAACGAGTTGACTAACGATCTCACCCATTTGACTTATTTGTATACCTTATCTTGCTGATCATTTTAGCTATTTAATGTATCTCTCTATATATTATAGTTATATATCAAGATGATAGGTGAACACACTAAATATTGGCAAATTTTATCATTAAAGAGCATTAACTCCAGTAACAAGTCGACTGAAAAATTCGGTCATCCTACTTATTTATAGATCTGGTCCTCATGATAAATTTTGCATTTTTAAGTTTTTATCTATCTTTTGTAGTATTTAAGATATAAGGCAAACATTGGTAAACTCGTCATTAAAGGACAACAACTCTTATAAGGAAAGTCTGACGATTTAGATCATTTGACTTATTTGTAGGTTTGTAGATTTGTTTTGCTGATCATTTGTTCTTTAAAAAGTTATTTCTATTTATAATAGGTTTCAAGATTATAGGCAAAAATTTAAAAATATGTTAAATTTTGTCATTGAAGGGCAATAACTCTTACTGTGGATTCATTAATTTTCGTTGGATACCAATTCTTGTGCATTTCGTGGGTACAGGGGAACCACGAAATTAAATGTCCAACGAATTACAAATTTCCTAAAGGCATGCATGCATGCTTTGCCAAAAACACCAAATTAAATATCCACAAAAATGCAAATTTTCCTCAATCTACAAAAATTGGAACCTATGAAAATAAATAAATCCACAGTAATAGATGTCGTCTGAGAGTTTATACCCTAATATACAATAGGAACAGCTCAAAAGTCTGAAAATTTCTGCCACAGTAAGGTTTTCTCTATTTATAGCGGGTTTCAAAATATTTGAAAAACTTGCACTTCATCCCTATGTTCCACGTTTAGCCATGTCGGCCATCTCTGTTCGCAGGCGAGGTCATTGGACACATTTTGTAAACTAGATACACTAATGATGAATTCGGCTTAGTTTGGTTTCAATTGACCAAACAGTTTCAGAGAAGATGTTCGTAAAATTTAACGGACGACAGACTACGGACGAAAAGTTATGGAAAAGCTAAAATAAGAGGATCACAGGTGCTTCAAGTTGCACTTCTGTGAATATAGACAATGCAATTTCCCGTAGGAACTCCTTTTACGGCAAAAACTGTGCCACTTTTAGTATGGAGTTTCGAAAAAAATTATCCTAAAATGAAAAGTTCATATGCACTTCTAATTTTTTCAAAGGTCAAAATATAAAGCTGTGTGACATATTTTTATGCCCAGAGAGAGTTTTAACCTATACTTTAGTTCTGTACTACCCTCTCTTCACTTTGGGTCTTCCTCAGAATTTAATTTGACCGCTATCCATGTGTATTTATACTGGTTACAATCCCAATTCATGTCTCGATGAGATAGAACATACGGATCATATCTGGGAACCACTACGTAAACAAAACAAAATATCTATGAATATCACATATCTTCCCAAATGGGGCGCGGTTTGTGAAACAGCTGTATTTACAAAGTGCTACCTTTTGAAGGGTTGGCTTATCCTGCTTCACTGTTGGAACCTGTGGTGCTACAAGTAAAAAAATCGATGATATTCGGTTTCAACCAAATGATGATGGAAGTATTGAAGTGATGCCCTTGTTCAAATGCTTGTTTGACAGCAGCAACCCTCTATCTCAAAAATTATGATAGGATACACAAGCTCTAAGATATAATATTAACTTGGATATATGGACCCCATTTTCAAGCGTTACTTAAATATCATTATATAGAAATTAAAAGTTCACAATGGGAAATGCGAATTAACCTCTCTTGTCGCAAAATAAGTTCTCAAACGATAATAATTGCTGAAATGTTGCTACATAGGAATGGAGATTTCACAATGGGGAAGGTGAATTAGATTGCAATGTTAAGTTCTCAAACAATCCTTAATGCTTACCTTTTTTTATGTTAGTCAAAATATGAAGAATATTTATAATTTATATGTATGGTATTCTATATTTTAATCCGGAGGGAAAGTTGCTATTAATCTATTCATTAGAATTAAAATTGAACGGGATTTGCAAGGTATATTCTTGGTTTGAGTAACATTTGAGTGAGTTTTATTTAGCTCTTGAAGATGTTCAGTTTCATCTCAATAGTTTTCTATCTTTGATTAATATTTCGTAACAAAAGTTTAGAATTTTGATTTCTGGCATTTTGCATGAGCACTAAAATCAATAGTGATTATGTATAATCCCTAAAAATTACATGCGATTTTATGTAATCACTGACAATTTTAAAAATTATTTTTACAATTCCCTGATATGATTCAGTGTTTATCAGTAATGCAGAGGGCATTGTTTGATAAAAAGATAAAAATAGATAAATAAATCATCTGTTTCCTTACCCCTTAAAGGTTTAAGGGGACAGTTTTCATTCCCTGTCTAAACTGAACAGATTTTTCGGTGATATGTTATTGTACAGTGTTAAACCTCATTAATTCAAAAACAAAAAAGTATTTTAAATTGAAATGAATATACCAACATTCTCAATGATAGTAATAACAGTATGCATGTATGCCATGAATCATATGGTTTGCCAGAAATCAGAGTCAAATGCACATTCATGGACTGAATCTATATGCACAGTGCATGTAATAGGTTGTAAATCAAATGACGACAACAATTGTTGAAAATCAGTTTTATGTTCTATATGTTGTAATGAACAAGAAATTCAAACATAGCAAACGTAGAGAAAAACAGACGGCATGTTTGACAGATCGAATACAACTTGGAGAAGACTATCCTTCATAAAAGGACTGAAAAGGATATTGCCTACGAAACATGGAATTTGCCTCAGATTCTAGACAAAAAATCAAATTAAGGTGGTTGATTCACTTTTATGGCAACTTCAGATGTTTCTTATGAACACTTTATTTCTCTTCAACGTTCTAAAAAAAGCAGATTCAATAGGTGAGGGACAAGGTTTTGTTAATGTAGATGTTGTTATAAAAATCCATAGAAGCAGAGCAAACCCCAATAGTAGATGTCAATCAAGTTTAAAATATAGTTTGAACAAAAGAAATGATTTGAATTATGAATATGATGCTTAACCCTTTTAATATTTATGTTTCTTAAGATGTTTAATAGAATAAACTATTTAACATTTTTAATCAGTGTCTCTTCCTTCCAGTTATCATGAATTATGCCTGACATTTTTTCTAGTGAGTATGAATTATTCCTAAAAAATTAAGCTTAAGTTACTAGTGGTTATGAATAATCCCTCACAATTTCAGGGATTATACATAATCACTAATTATACAAATGCACTGTAACATATAAATAATTTACGTGACATTACTGTATGCATTTGTTAACATTGTACATACATTATTGTGAGTGTATGTAAATAAAATTGAGAATGGAAATGGGGGAATATGTCAAA